CCCCCCCCCCCCCCCCCTGAATCCACCCTTGCAGTAATGAATTACTTTACTCTGTATATTAATTCTAATACCTTTCTCCTTCTTCTTTGACTTCTTGCTATTTCTCATGCCTTGCCGTAAGTAAGACAGAATTTGAGTCAGCTTGTTGATGACAATGTCATTGGTTGTCAGTGTTGTTTGGGTCTAGAATCATAAATCATGGTCACAAAATAATTTGTTATTGAATTATCCCGTGATTAATAATCCAACAAAAGAATGTTGGCTCTTTGATTCAGAGTATGAAAACGAAAATAATGGATGATGATGATGATGATGATGTTAGTGTTGGTGATGATGATGATTAATAAACCAATGAATCATTCATTTTGGCTSTTTGATTCAGAGTATGAAAAACAAAAATAATGATGATGGTGATGGTGATGATGATGATGATGATTAATAAGCAATGAATCATTCATTTTGGCTCTTTGATTCAGAGTATGAAAAACAAAAATGATGATGATGATGATGATGATGATGATGATAATGTAAAGCTTAAATACTTGATAATGTATTACCTCCATYCCAGGGCAATCAGCTTTACTTCTGATCAAAGTTGTAGGGATATCTGTTTCAGCATATTCATCTTCGACCTCAAACACATAGGCCTGTTTAAACAAAATAAAGAATACATGTATTAAAACAAATAAAACACTCAAAAACTGCTACTGACNACCAACTGTGTACATTGTAACAAAAAATCTAATGACTTCGAGCTGTCTGACTGTCTAATCTGTCTGAACAACAGATGGATAGCTTTAATGACAGATGTTACATAAATTGCTTCACCAACCAACTGTGTACATTGTAATAAAAAACCTAATGACTTGGAGCTGTCTGATTGTCTAATCTGTCTGAACAACAGATGGATAGCCTTACTAAAAGACTTTTGACTGACAGCTTCACCAACCAACTGTGTACGTTGTAAAAAAGACCCAATTACTTCCTGACTGTCCAACTGTGTAGAATTTGTCTGTGAGCAACTGATAGATAGCCTTACTGACAAGTTGCTTTAGGAATAAACCCTTCCTTATCACAATAAATTATGATCATACCATTCTTCCTGGCTGGAACAGCTCATTCTTTTCAGGTGGTTTGACTTTGAAGATTGATTTGTAAATTCTATGACCTGTAAATTGATTGCCAAATAGTCAGAAAAAAATATTTCATGAAGTACATGAACACATGGTATGGCATTACCAAAAAAAAAAGATCATTTCTCCTTGAAGACACCTCATCATATTTAGTACTAAACTTTTAATACTACTTTTAAGACCTCAATACAGTGCAAACTATACCATCCTTCAGGGTCCATGACAAAATGTTAAATTATCATTAGGTTCCACTTGGTCAAATGAAACTTACCAAGTCGAGTCTTAAATTCTTGTTCTTCATCTTCCTCTCTTTCACCTTCCTCACTGTTATAATGAAAAAATACAGTTAAAAGAGTTTTATTGTTGTTGCAATCATGAAAATTCATAATTTCATAATTTTCATATTTTACATGTAGCCAAAAATGTCAAAACACAACATCTGTAGCCAGTGTTGTCACCATTACAATTGTTCTTTCTTGTAATCAAGCTAGATCTCTTACCCTTCTTTGTGTTTTATTTTCTTGAGTGATTCCCCCATGGACTCTTCTCCTTCACCAGCAATTTCACTCCGAACCTAAGTCAAATATACACAAAATCAAGAGATAAGCTCAGGAGGAAATACTTACCTTCAAAATGATCTATTTATATAAAGAGATTTGAAATTTTGACAAGTCACAGCCTATTCACTGGCTTTTACTGTACTTTTTCCATGCTACAGTTTTCTAKAAATATATAGTATGTACCAGATATACTCAAAAACATTCTTGTAAGAAAATTGTAGGCTCTGGTAGGAGAAGGCACTGGAAAATCCAGAATCAGGATCTCAAGATATAGCACATTGGAATTTTTGAACCAATCAAATAAAAGACTCATTTTTCTCCAACAAGTCAGAACTTTTGATCTTCCATTGGGAAACTGAGAAGGTTTGTTGTACGAGAATATACTCAAAAATTATTTTTCCATGTATTTTTTGTAATAACAATTTAGCTGCAAATATATCTGTCTTTTATAAGTTCTGTAACACTGTAATAAACCTCACCTTTTGCAATAAAGCAAAGTCGAGTCCCTTCACTAAATGAGTATGCTCCATATCACCACCCAAGAATTTACTTTCTTGAATGGCTAATCTTCTTCTCTCTGCTGCTGAATCACTGGTGGTAGAATTTATGATAAAAACTATTAAAGTGCGATGAACAACAAATAAGTTTCTAAGTTATTATCATGATTTAATCAAAATGATATTAAACAAAAGTTTACACTTTAGACAATCCTGACAATTGACAAAGAATCTTCTTTAATAAATCATTCTCATGACATAGTTCACCTTTCCTCTTGTGTAGGTCCCACAGCTCTGTAATTAGCAGTGGCACTCAGGGTATCTGTGCCTTGATAATCTGGATTTTCTCCATCACGTCGTTCCCTTGCCTAGTAAAAACCACAATTGATTATGTTGTATCCTAAGGGAAGACAACACTTCATATCTCAGATATAATAGTCTCAACTAAAATAAGGAACTACTACATTGTATACTACTACACATGCATATTTTAAAGCCGATTTCGTATGAGTGGGACACAGTTACCGCACGGTTACCGCACAGTTACCGGACCTGGCCTGCAGAATTTTGGTGAAACAATGGGGCACTAGAATTTGGTTACAGTACGATTACGGACACAGTACAGTACCGTCCGTTTCCCACTTATACGAAATCCGCTCTAACTATCACATACCCTGTCACGGTATTTGGAGGCAAGTTCCTTTTCTCTTTCCTCTTCTAATTTATGAAGTTTGGCATAATACCTAGAAATGATTGATTATTTTTTTAATTTCTTTGTTGTAAACAGATAATATAAATGTTTAGAGGGTAAAGAAAAATGAAATATTAAAAAAAATATCAATACAACTGTATTTTACTTTTTCTTTTTTCTTCTTTGTGCGACTGGATCTTCATCTTCATTATAATCTCTTGGTCGGCTAAAAGGAGAAAAGATTAATACAAGGATAAATAAAAAAATATCAATTAGCAATGCTAGATCTGACTCTAGGGCCTGGTTTCAGTAATGCAGTACCAATTGAAACCTGCTTTTTGATTGCTCCTTAAGTACAGCACCACTATTGTTAGGTTAGGTTTTGTTATATTGTTGGAAGACTTATCTATTGTTTGTCCATTGTTTTCTCAACCTATCATGAGACTCGTTTCGAGCGGTGCTACCTGGCTCCCTGGTTTAACTCAACCAAAATCTATGGAGCTGACCCTGGATTAATGCTTCAATGCAATCAGGCATTAAACAAACTGGACAAGTGCTTGAWGTAATACATGTGTAAACATGTAATGTAATTTTGCAGCCACATATTTGTAAGTCTATATACATTACATCTACGAGGAAAGTTGCATGTGTAGCACTGTATCTGCCTCTTAAGTGAGTGCCTAACAATATGAAGCATGCTGGCYCCTAGTTTCTATTGTTTTCTTATATCCTTTCTTCCTTTCTCTGGAGGACAAGACCCAACAAACAAACAACAGAAACTAGTCTGGTTAGGAAGGACATTGTCAGCTTTGTGTAATCAAGCCCAAATCAGCACAAACACACATTATTATCATTATTTAATGAGGTTGTTAGGTTTCTGTCTTGAACATGTATTTAACTTCACGTAGCACAGCCACTGCACATGTATGCAATAGTGGAAAGGCACTGATCATCGCAAAAATAACGCATAAAACATCACATAAACAAAAAGATTGACGTACTAATGTAGGGTGATATTTATTTAAGAAATAATGGCCTTGAATGGCAAATATTTAAAACATACGTCGACGTCACATCAGCAGGTCTTTTCATCGATGGAGGAGCTGCTTTTGGAGCAGAACGTGGAGTCATGAGAAGCTTCCTAAAGTCTGCGTTTGTTAGGGCCGATATTCTGCAAAATAAGATCATGAATATGAAAGTTTAATGATATTAATCACTAGAACGTTTAAAAGMATGGAAAAACATTGCTTTCAACTCACTCAGAAGCGCCATGACCAGAGTGTCCATGATGGCCGCCAGATGGCGGAGCCAAAGGATTGGAAAACATTGCTCCGTCGGCTAGAAAAATGAAAAGGACATACAATAATCATTCTTCTATCATTAGCGTTTATTTCAAGAAATAATAACCGCAAAAAAGGAAAATATTTAACTGAAGAACTTACCTTGAGACATTTTGTTGTACTCCAGACGCAAACACGTACCAGAATGCTTTGCTGTTATAAGAGGCCTGGCTACATTGTTTATTTTCAGTCAATAATCGATCGGCTACGAGTCGGAAACAGAGGTCGTCGAGGTCGTCCACTTCGTTCTGAAGTTGAGGAAGTCCAGCGTTGAGAATTTGGGAAATTTCAAGGCTATTTTCCATGCTAACTATCCAATTGTTTGAGAAGATGTTCAACAGCTAATAMAATGTAGGAAATTGCTTTGTGCAGTATTTGAGTTCAGCTGTGGTATGGGATGAATGCAAAAATGGCAGCTCACAACCGGGCTGAAGAGATCCAATCTCATGTCAAAGAAGCTTTTTATTTAGCAGATGTCGACAACAAGGGCTACCTGAGCAGATTTGATCTCAAGGTTGCTATGGTGTCATTGTTTGGATACAAACCTTCCTCATTTGAGATTGATGATATAATATCAAAGGTTTCAGAAAGGCAAAAACAATCTGCAGGGATCACTCTGGATCAATTGCAGTTWATAGCTTCAAATAAATTCAAGGCTCAAGATGACGATGATCACATAAGACAGATATTYCGTGCTTGTGATCTGGAATGCCGTGGATTTATAACATTGGAAAATGCCAAAAGATTGTTTGCTCAAGCTGCGCCCTTTATGGATATGCAGACAGTTGAAAGAGTTTTCAAAGAGATTGACAGTGACAGAGATGGGCGTGTTAGTTATAAGGACTTTGAGTTTATGATGAAATACATTGTGGATGATTGATAAGTACAGATGTAGTGTAGTTCAAAACAATATACATATTTGCATATTTGGTGAATTTGAAAAGACATGTAATGTACTGTGGATGCTACAATCATGGTCTGAAAGTGTTTGAAATATCACTAAATATTGGTATGTCGGAGCATTATGCTCAGTTGTTATGATAACAACTCTTGTGTCCTCATGTTTTGGAGATCGTATTTGTTTGCTTGATGCTCTAAGCTGACAGACTAACAGCCCTGTTTTGGGCAGGGAAGAGAGTGGAACTAGTGCTCTGAGGAAGATTGTATTGAGGGTGAATATTCCTGTCCGAGGGATAAATTCAGGATTCTCAGTATAAGACGACAGCCAGCAAAAATTGCCATTTATAGTTTAGTTAATCACCTGCTACTTGTTTGTTAATGGATTGCAGAAAACAGACGGGTACTAATATAAATCCTCTATTTTGACGTCAACTTTAATTTTTGCTGAAAACCCTGTAAATCCTTAAACAGTAGTTAAAACACAAATACATATATGGAGTTGATGGCTTATTTGGCTAGTAATTTTTATTTTCATCCACCCTTCATCCAACTGATCCCTGTAGTGAACTGTGAAATATTAATTTGTACAGTAAATTTTGTATTTGCTCACACCTTCTAGATTTCTAGACACATTTTTAGGTACCTTTTGTTACTAAACTCTCTGGCAGTCATGGGCAGATGGTGATGGTGTCAACAGTGATTGGTAATGGTGATAGAGAACTTAATGCCAACCAAGAGAAAAGAAGTGTGCAGTTCAGGTTAGTTAGGTTAGATTTACAAACAAAGAGTTCAAAATAGATAGCCTCAAAACAGAGACCACAGAGCAGAGTGGCAGGGGACTGTAGCCAAATCCCATTTTTTTTTTTAAATTCAATAAAATGTCATTTTGAACCCTATACTGATAMCTTTTGGTAGTGTCAAGTAATATCTTTAGATTCACTGTGTAAAATATGTACTCGTAGACGCTCAAAATGCTGGAAATCGCATTATTTTCCAAGATTAAAAGTTTTAAAAATTCATTGGTCTATCTACTTGATTTAGACTTCTTTTGCCTTTGGCTCCTCCCAACAAATTGATGAGGCCTGACTAAACTTATTCAATAAGTTGCGTGAGGCTGTTCCTGATTAACCATACATGAAAAAAATGTTAGAGAAAACGTAGACAACTGATAGAAAATAGCTGGCTTTTGCCACTCCTCAAATAGAACACTCACTGGCCATTTTATTTTAGATTTTCTTTGTCGTCTGGTCATTCTTTGTCCTGCTGAATTTTAGTTGTGCTTGACTACTTTTTAAAATGACAAATCCAGATCCCAAAAGATTTACAGTGTCTGAAAATAGTTGCACAATAATTGTCATTATTGACGTCTGGATCTTGCACAATATTGAAAGGGAAAATGTATGGTCTTACAGTGCAATGATTCCAATTTTACAACTGATTAAGTCTTTTTAGATACGGTATCTTGGTCAAATGCTCTCATTTTTTCATGCAATAATTGAAATATCTCAAATAAACTTATTAGCTGTCTTGTTCTAAAGCACCTTTTGAATTTTGTCTATTAAACCATGTCAGATGTTTTGTTAAAAGAATGCGAGCTATGTTCGAGCATTAAAAGTCCGCCATTGTTAACAAAAGAAGTAGCATTATCAAATCCCATATTATCTATTTTATATCGATGACTAATCCACCAGTAACGATAATCCAAAACGTTTTTTCTTTTTTAGATGTAAAAGTATTTGAAAACTTTAACGTCCTTTTTGAACATTGATGATAAAGATTTTACATGCTGGAGACGGCGTTTGTTCGGCAGGGAATCTCATGAAACAGTCTATTAAACGGAAGGTCAGGTTTTTGTTTTAGCATATTAGAGAGTAGAATGGCATGGTGTGTGTTGCACTGCAAAGTGACTTAAGGCACACGTGGCTAAATGTCATATATTCCGTACTCGAAAACGTTGTTTGCAAAATAATGGTGATTTGGTACGAACTGATTACAGAAAGTTACAATAGTGCTKCTTTGCGAACGTCATAAAAACTAAATCCAAAAAACTTTTTCAAAGAAAATCCTTTATAGGGAAAAATTTTTTGGGGTTTGAAATCACGCAATTCCTTGACGCCTGTTCTTTTATGACCAAAAGCCGCAAAAAAGAATTTTTGTAGCCGAAATACTTTTTTCCAAATCCAAACAAAACTAAAGTTATAAAAAATTTATATGTAAAACCGGAAAAAATCATTTATATATATTTTTTGATACTTTGCATTCTTTCTGCCTCTAGGGACAAGTGGTGTGATTCGATTTCGTCATCATTTGGATTAATAAATAATGAMTMATTTTTGAAAACTTTTACMATTTATGAAAAAGTGAGAATTGACACAACTATCAGGTGTCACGGGTTCTTCACGAGAAGGAATCYGCGCGTCCCGCTTTTTTTCATGGAGCCYATATTTGACCTACAGTGCTCAAGGTGAACCACAACAATATAAGCATAAGAGCGTGACAAATCGATCGTGCATAACCAAAATTGTGGCGCGCGAGTCGGGGGCGGGCTTAAGAGAGCGAAAATATTTGAAAGATTCGGAGTCCAACAGTGATTGGGCCATTGCTATTGGTCAATTTTCCTAACAATAGAGATATCAAACACACACATAATTATTTGGCCAAATACTGGGGACTCATTGCCAATCTGAACAACTTCTAAAGTAAAGAAGGCAGTATTTTGGATTATTTTTGTGTCGTTGGTTTCCAAAGKGGTCTRCATGCTGAACTGGAGTTTATGGATTGGATGGAATTCGCTCGTCAGTTTCTAATTAAGCCAGAATGCTAATGATTCGTGAAACGGACATGTTGAATTGAAACGCGCGAAGCGGTCGAACTATAAATGGAGAAGAAACGGCTAAAGAAGCAGCTCAAATAAGGCGAAATGCCTAACAAAAATACTAATGATGTGCCGTTGCCGTTGGGTTGGGAGGAAGCGAGAGACGCCGATGGAAGGTTGTTTTACATCGATCATTCCACCAAAACAACGACATGGATCGATCCCCGTGATAGGTACGTTCAAAACCGGATCTYCAGTTATTTCTCATAACTTCAAGTAATTACTAAAGCGAATCATGCTTGGTAGCTTTAGCTGTCGCTGCGAATGTTTCTTTTGAGTCAATGTACAGGAGTAGCTATGAATTTCATTGAAAARTAGCTCTGATCAGGGAGACCGCTTGATTGTATACAATAGCACCTTCTGATCAAGAATTAATACTATTTACACGGAATTTGCACATTGTTGGTGCTTACACCTCCAGAAAGATTTTCTCACWTGCTGRTATACGRAGATTTAAGAAAAGTTATGTATTTAGTAGTTAGAGRCAGCAAATCCTGTAAGCATTGCTACGTGAAGCGAACATATTCCAGACTTCAGATCATCGCTACTTCATCTCGTGCCACTCTCTGTGGCCTTAAAAGTATTTCAATTATGTAGTCTTTTATATTACAATATTCGGCTGTTTTAGACTCTATCTTACTGACAATTCCAAAGGCTGTAATTCTGTCTGCTATTTTGTTTATTTTCATATTTCTAAGTGTTTCAAAATCTGTCTGCAGAAGATAGTTACAAACCTCACTCTTCGCATTGACATACCAGAAACGTTTATTTTGAAAGATCCCGAAAAGCCCTTGAAATTACCTGAATTACTGAATATTTTTTTCTCTTTAWAAAGCTATTTTAGTTTGTGGAATTCAGAAAGTTTTATCTACAGACTTGAAGGCTCRCATCTGACTTTGGCCGGTAACATTTGAGCTTTCGGTATTCAAGGAATCGCCACGAATTYGTTGAGTTTATTCTGTATTTTCTATTATTACTTCGGAAACAAAACATTTTCCTCTAAAAACTACACTCTTACAATGTGTTAACTTGAAAGCTGTGTTATTTGAGCTTGCAATTATTACGACACGAGAAAAACATGGAAAACATCGTTTGTCTATTAGTTAATGAGTTTGAAAAAATGTTCCCAAAATATCGTGCGATGTGTCAGTTTAAAGTAATGAGAAACGACTTCTCCGCAAATCGCCATAATCCCACATCCAAATATATGACAATAGATTGAAGTATTACAAGCATTGGCAAAAAAACTCTGAACTCAGCAAAAGATTGCAGTGACATTTTGCCCCGTGCCATAACTAGAGTATGAAAGACTCGTGCCAGCTTGACCCAGATAAGATACTGAGCATGAACATCACTTAGCCATAATAAAATATTTCAGAATTTTGTTTCGTAAACTATGAATGTTCAACTTTGTTATGTGTTATTGAAACATCAAYGACATGTTATTTRACAAGACTTTCTTTTGCGCATGTAGAATCTGTATTGATTCCATTCGATTTCCCAATTCCACTGCAAATCCCATTATGTTTTTCTTGGATTTGTTTTTGCYWTGTTTGTYTTGTAGCATGCAGRTTTGACATGACATTTTTCCTTACCTTAAAATRCATAACTGCTTGTGTCATAATTTTTCACTAGCTTGAATTATTATTAAAAATTTCACTGCATGAAGGTCTACCTTTGTAATGTATTTTTAGACCATCYACTGCTTTTAATGATTTATTACAATTTCATCATTTTTTCTCTTAAACAAGTTAGACAATTCACAAAATGAAGCTTGCATGTACTTCTTTCACTAATATTGCCCATATTGTAATGATTTGGTTCCACAAGCATTCCCACATTAACTGCATTCCATAGAAAGTTCAATTCTATTATTAGAAATGTTTGGAGTGGGTAGAGTCTATTTATAGACTTCTTACAGTGTTATCTTTGTCTTATATAGATATAATACCAGTATGTTTTATATTTTTTCTAGTATTAGAATAACAGAAATAGGAATGCAGGTAGTCTATTTTAATCAATTATACCTGAACAATATTGTTACATAGTATTGAAGAATTCTAACAATTTGGGTTATAAACGCTGCTAAAACTGCTGCTGTTTGTCAGTTTATCAGGGTAATTTGCGGTTCTATTTTAGGTGGCTTCATCAGAAATGTCTACAAGTTAATCAGATTAGATTTGTATTATAGTAAATTAAAATGAAATGCAATTAATATAAGTAGCATAAATAATTCGTATATAATTTATTCTTTCCACATTAACATTGAGCTATTAATTTTGGTATTGATGTTTCATTAATAATAATGCAATTTCTCTATTTGGAATTAAATTAAATCATATTTCAAATTGAAGAAATCACAATTATTACATGGATTAATGATTTCAGAAGTGGTCTGAAAGTTTCAAAGTGTTATAAAGCTAATCCACATTTTTTTCTAGAAAAGACTTCCTAAAACTTTAGATTATAACACATTCCAGAAGTGATTTACAAAAATTAAATGCTTATAAAGCTTTTTGTCCTCCACAGGCTTGTGAAACCATTGTCATTTTCTGACTGCATCGGAAATGGTAAGTTTGTCATTATTGACAGTAGAATTATATATTATATGGGTTGTGTAATGAAGTTTCATAGTAGAATTATATATTATATGGGTCGTGTAATGAAGTTTCACTGTGACAGTAGAATTATATATTATATGGGTCTTGTAATGAAGTTTTATGCAAAAGTGGATTCTGTAGTTCTTTCTCCAGCTGCAGTCTTTAAGAGCTGGGAATAAGGTCAATATTAGGTTGAGAAACAGTTAAGCTTTACCAGCGTAATTGAGCCTTCATTAAAACACCTGTGAGAAGGGGTTCACCCCATGTTCTTGGGGCATATAGCTATTAAATTGTAATAACAATTTAGAAAATAATTTCCTTGAGTGTTTAATAACTATAGATGGCAGACACTTTATTATTTGTACTAGTATTATGAATGGCATAGACATGAGGTTTTTCTAATTCAATTTTAACTAATAGACAAGTTTCTATGGCTACAAGTGCGTTGTCTGTGCCATTACACAGTCATCTTATGTTATATATACATATTTGTTTTAATCATTTCATATTTACTATCAGAACTGCCTCTTGGGTGGGAAGAAGTCGATGACCCTGTCATTGGAAAGTATTTCATAGATCATAATACAGGTATGGAATTCATATTCAATTTTTGCTTCCTGAGCAACCTTTAAGCCTGGTTTTTACAYGTGAAGTCATCGGGGGACATCAAAGTAGTCCTATGATAAATTTCTCATTTAACGCCCTCTGGACATCCCATAGTTTCTCACACAAAACAATGTAATTCASTGGTTCATGACATTATGACATCACAACTTAAACATCTATTTCCCAAACCACCAATTACAATCACTCTCCACCCCTGGGGACACCTCAATTTAATGTTACAGATTCCCTGTTATGACAGACACTTAAAGGTCCAAAGAAATTACTGAAATTTTTACACGAACCCGGACGTCCCTTTTTCCCATGGTGTTGGTTAAGGACCATCATAACTGCCTTCATGGTAGATCCTCACTAATTATGGCCCAATTGCATTCTCATTCACATATTTCGTGGTGGTTAATGTAAATGAGCTTCCTGATGCTTTGGGATTGTTGTCTTTGTAGTTGCTGTTGTAATGCTGCGCTACTGACTGTGTTATAATTAYGTCTGTCATCACACGAGGGGTTATGAATGAACCTGTGTTTTTGATATATGCTTTGTAAATTCCTTTCAATGAAGTGTCAATACCAAAAACTAAAACACTTAGCTTTATCAGATGAAAGCTAACCACATTTTTTTGTGTTTTCATTTTTGAGGCAGATAAATAAAAGATGCTTATTTTGTAGTAAATGGCTCAAATTCCTTGCATTTTTCTTGGTTTTTGGGTCTAAAAACCTGTTAATTGGCATCTAATTTGACTAATGGGCTAATTTATGCCTAGTTTATCACACAAAATGGTTTAATTTATTCCTTAATTAAGCTCCTACAAAGTTATGAATATTGAATTGATTTTTGGGCTTTTTTCCAATCCACTATTCACTATCAATCTGAAAATGTGACAGCATTTTTTGTGCTCCTCRAATATGTCTAACATGATATCATTTTGTCTGTGCAGGGACGCAGCAAGCCGAGGACCCAAGGGAATTATGGCAAGGCGGAAAACACAATATGATAAAGCAATACTTGGAATTAACACAAAATGACTTGACAGTACGTATTTTTTTCTATTTTCCTATTTTTTACGTTAAGGTAGAGTACAGTTATGATGTATGAAGGTTAAGAAGCTTATTCGCTTCTTGTTTTCCTTACAGACTCTTTCTTGTTGGATTTATTTATACATTTACGTCACGTTTTTGGTAATTAACCTTCGAAGGGCTTAAATAAAATAAGCGCAGATAGTTTCAATAGTCCAATAGTACCTCGTGAAATCGTTTCGTTTTAACTCCTAACTCGAATAAGAAGACGGTTTTTCACAGAAARGCTTAATATAATTCCGTGTCAAAGCACACCCGTCCATTTTTAGACTCGAGGAATTTGATTAGTGTTCAAATAATCTCGGAATAATGGTATTTAATCGTGCTGCGCGACCTCTGATGAAGAACAAGAGTTTCAGGTGAAGTATTTTTGCCATAACGGACAAGTAATCACGCCGGCATTCGAGCTTTCAACAGCCTTCAAGATATGGCTAATCTGCAGCATGCTTGAAATTTCCTGTTAATGAGTGAACTTGACTTGAAGGTCTCGTGGATTAAACGTGAAAAATTCGTCTCTTTTTTTAACCAGAACTTGAAATCTTCGCGACATCTTTCTTTGTCGGAAAACCTACTACAACGTTTTGTACAATTGAAAGTTAATACGTGCATTTTGCGCGCTGAAATCATTCGTTTGCGCTCATTCTCCATTTTTCTATGTTCSTTTCCCAGTTTTCTTTTTTTCACGTAGTTTTTCTCCCTCACTTAGGTACAACAGAATGTTCTTAGCGTGAAAATGCAAAGATTGGATGTGGCGCAGAATGAGGTGAGATCCAGTAGCCATCATGTCGCATTCGTCGCACTACAAGGATTCGCGCAATTCCTTTGCRTTTTTATAAGCGACTGTSAGACTTCAAAATTGTCATCTATTGATTGCGCTGTTGATAGGGCCTACAACGACGCTTTTCCTGGCCTTAATTCCTTATAGTAATACTTTTATGTAGCATTTGTCGTTGACAGAGATATAGTCTGCATGTCAAACGAGTTTCACTTGAGTTGAAGTGAGGTCGTAAGACGCATACCGACCTCTGGGCACATAACTGGACGGCAGCTGTACTTAGCAGTTGCTGTCGTATTGACTTACATTACGCATATTGCTTTGCCAAGGATAGCAGCTKATCTTGAAGTCTCCATATATTCACCAAAAAAATGTTGGCTTATCTGCTTCAGGTGCAGTTTTTGACTTCAGAGCTTGAAAACATGCAAAATCAGCCATCTTTATCAACTCAAAGTCCTCAATGTTCTTCATACAAGCATTCCAARCAGAACAGTAATTGTTCTGCCGCTTCATCATCGTCGACGACTTCATCTATAGCAAGCAAGTTTGACCCAAATTTGTTGAAGAAAGAGATTCTGTTAGCAAAAACAAGGGTAAGGCTTTGGGTCTTTGTATATTTTAAATTTATATTCTAACAAGTGCATTTTTTTACCCGCAAAGCGTTCTCGCGATATAAAAGTACAGTTTCGCTGATAGATTTAAGTGGGTTTAGTTTTACATCTTTTTTAAAATGGTAACTAATAATTTCGAAAGCGCCAACATCTTTTGTGAAAGTTTAAAGTTTAGTTTAGCGGTTGCGTTCCTTGCGTGCCGAGAAAACTGGCTCACGGTTGAAAGCCACAAGCACGCGTRAGATGTCAAGTTGGATACTAGTAATTTGTTGAGTAGCTTGGCGCTTTACCRCTAAAATCAACGCTTCTAAAAAAGATTCATTATTCAGACTCTTCAAGCGGGAGTGGAAACTTCAATTTCTTTACGAAATGTTGCATATGTTTCCAATAAGTCATGAAATTTCTCTTTAATTTGACAGGTGGAGCGGTTAAAATCGGAAATGGAGCAAGTTTGTGGCGAAGTTCAGGCAAARGAAGAGGGAATTCGGACACTCGAAAAAGTCGATCAAAAGCTTGCATTGAAACCTCGAGATCAAGAGCAATTAAGTCCTGGCAGAACTCCGAGTCTGAAAGAAAAAGAAAAGCAGTTAACGCCGAAGAAAGAATTAAAACAAGTACTGCCTTTTTGTTTATTTTGCTTTGTTTGTTTTTGTTATTTATTTGGAATTTGCGCGCTTTCTAGTTAGCTTTTTTAGCTAATTTCATCTTTTGTTCAATAGATAAAGGACGATATGAATTTCAAAAGGACTTCTACAACAGGATCACAGACCGACTTGTCAATTGAAAGTCCCCTTGATAAAGGCAAACTCAAGGTTGAATATAAAGAATCGATAAGAGAAGTGCAAAGRCTGCACTCAGAGATAGGTCGTATTGAAGACCAACTGAAAAACAAYCCAACCGATAATGGCACCAACACGGCAAACATGAACACTCTGATGCTGATACAAGAAAAAGAAAAATTGCTCGACGAAATWAGAAGACTTGGGTCGATAGTGAAGAACGAAGAAGAAAAGGTACATGAAACAAACATGAGACTTCATGTGTAGACAATCATGTACAAAAATGTTTCTGCTCGGCATACTTCATCAGCTCTGGGTTCTATTTGCGAGAGATGTATTTTTTTCAATCCCCCTATGTCTTTCTTTATTCGTGTTTGTATTTATTGTAATGTAGGGAAAGGGAAATCCTGTTAAGCTCTAACCCCTGTCTACCTTAAAATAGCGCTACACTGCTGACAGACCCTATGACAGACCCGGTGAGACGGGATGTTTTCTCATTAAAGYCAAGTCCACCATAATGTGTTTTAGTAGGATTTTCAGCTCCCCCGAKGACAAAAATAAATAAATTTACAATAACGTTCTACCTGACTTTGACATTTTATTATTTTTCTTCTTTAGAGTAAGCTCGAAAATGAAAAAGAAAAGCTCGCAGCGGATTTAGAATCAGCCCGAGAGCTTTCCCATCGCGTTATCGCTGATCGTATGCAATTACAGGCGGAGAAAACAATCCTTGTTCAACAGCTACAAGAACAGGCCAAACTGACAAATCTTTTGGAGGCACAATTACGAAAGTAAGCGCAATGTCAGTTAACATAAACATCAGTTCATAGTTTATGTGCATGTACTTGATACTGACGACCCTTGAGAAGATATGATGGGRAACGCTAACTTATAGTGAAAGATTAGAGATACCTGTTCAATAGAACAGCCCAGGTTTCTGCTAGACCGATCGGTATACTGATATATATTGGTGATCGATCAATTGTATGACGCTGTTGTAATATATATATTGTACAATATGCGTCTTGGTATGTCAAGAATGACATCTATTTCAAGAGACCATCAACAGATTGTTTAGTCTTTGTGGATTGCTTCTTTGTTTTCTCAAATAAGTAACATTTTTTTTCTTTTTTTGTGTTTTTAGCATGTCGAATAGTACCCTGTCTATTTCTTCCTGCTCTAGCAAAGGCTCTTTGTCGACTGGAAGTCGTGGTTCTCTATCATCTAGTCGCGGTTCGCTGTCATCSTTAAGCTATTTGGAGACTGGTTTATCCAATAGCAGTGAGCCGCCAAATCTTCGTGAATTACACTTACGTGTTACTGAAATGCTCAATAAATACCAACCGTCGCCTGTACGGACCAGCGGAGTTCCTACAAGTTATATACCTACGTCATCACCTGCATACCGCCCTGCTGTTTCTACGTGCTCCCCACAGATGTCGTTCTCGTCGCGTGACTCCATGTCAATATCATCACTTTCGCCTCCAATGTCGCCGTCTTCCTCTGAACAGTCACCAGCCGCTTCACCCATGCGCATGCCTGTTTCTCAAGCCGAAACAACCGCCGTTCAAGAAGGCACTGAATCTGAAAGAARTAGCTTATTACAGGTTGGTATATATCTTGTCGACAATTGTGTCGAGTTTCACCGATGACTCATCGAATGTTTATTCACTGTATATAGGCTGAAGGTATACCCGTTCAACAAAGGATCCGTCTTCTTTGCGCWGACTCGCGGTCCAGCGAGTCAATCAATAATTTACCGTACACACCTCTCTCGCCAATCACAGAAGGCATTGCTTCGTTCTCGCTACAAGGTGGAGAAAGCTACCAAAACGTGCGACCGACTGTGACGGCAGCGGCGTCCAACGAATCCGTTGCAGCTGACAGTGGTGTCTTTGAAGCTTCTCAAGAAAACCTCAAAGCCGCACAAAGTAACAGTGACTTGAGGTCAAGAAGTGGTACAGATGGAACAGATGATGACAGCGGTACAGCRCAAATAAACATTGGTTTGAATTACGATCGCGATCGAGAGATATTACTCGTTACTGTTGACCGTGGTAAAAACATGAAAGAGCTTCAAAAAGTTGGCTGCTTGGAATGCATGGCGCTGTACGTGAAGCTTACCTTACTCCCTGGTGGAGAACCACTTCGTGTGGTGGAGACCAATCTTTGTAATGATGTAAATAATCCTATATTTGGTGAACAATTGCCCATTCCGGTAGTCGAGGTGAGACATCACTTTCTTCCTCTGAAAAGCAAATGACCAAGCGTTTTTCGTCTATACCTTTCTCCTACCAAGACTCTCCTCAGTTTCCTAACGGAAAATCGAAGGCTTTGGTTGGAAACAAACCGAGTCCCAAAATTTGGGTCGTATCGTATATGCATGCTGATGACGCATGGGAATTTTTGAGTCAATCAAATCAAGAACTCATTCGTCTACAACCAGAGCCATCGATTTTCGATACGTCTGAACACAGACTAAAAGTACCCTAGKTTTTACAGGAAATGTGTACATTTTTTTCCAATTCAATGTCAATTGTTCACTATATTGATAGAAGTTCTTATATATTGGTATTTTTTTCCAGGCSAAGATCAGCAACAAGACTTTACAACTTCATGTTTGTTCAATAACAAAGAATAAAACCGAAGAACTACTAGTGAGTCAGACATTAAAATCAAATAATAAAAAAAAATACCTCGTACTAAAATTGTTTTTTTTTTCTTTTAGGGTGGTGCACAGATTAGTCTAGCCGACTTCAACGTTCAATCTCCCATTTCTTTCCGATGGTGTAACATCCTTAATTTCACAGTGAGTATCACGTGACACTTTATTGACGTCACTGTAACYATGRACAGTCATGTTAGCGAGGTCCTGTAAACAAATRATAACAACGTACCTTTTTTAGTATCTTCAAGCACCACCTATCAAGTCAAGCTCTAAAAATCTCCTTTCGCCCTTGCCTCACTACCCTATGTCACCCATGGATAACATAGCAGAGACTTTAGGAAATCATTTCAAGATAAGACCCAGCTCATGGGTAAGTATTGTGAGGGTACATTTGTTTCTCATTTGATTCTAAAATTATTGCCAGCAATTTGGGACATTTATCAAAAACAATATAACGCTGTTATTTTTTAATAAAAAATACATAACACGGCTTGAAAAGATATACACCCACTACGTAATTGAGGCTTATAAAACACAAATATAATAATATAGGGCAATTTGGCAAAAAGGAACAGTTTCTATTGAATGTTTCACCATTGTCAGTCCCATACATTATATATGACTGCGTGGCCGCCATTGTTTTGCAAAATACGCATGCCGGACGCCATTTTGTCTGACAAAATTGCTGGCAATGTTTAGATCATTTTTTTTGGAAAAGATTTTTGAAAACAGTTGTACTATTGTTTAATGGACTTACTTTATTGTAGTGCTGTGGCGGTTCGTCGCTTAGYCTAGCATCAGCAAGTGGTGACAGTACTGCAGGTCGATCAGGAAGCCATGAAATGCTAAACCAAGATCCRGCTGACCGTAGATTATCAGGCAGAAAAATCGAACGTGAACACTCGCAAGAGGACAGTGTGGTCAGCGGTGATTCGTTGCAAGATGCGGAGAGCGACTGGGCACAAATATCGAGGCCTTTCCCAAAGACATCGCAACGCTTGATGTCATCTCTGACAAGGAAATAYTCCGATCCCGATTCTGTCATCGATAGAGTAAGTACAAATATTTGATAGATAGTTAGTGTGRGGCGCACACCGCCAATATTGGACAAGAGTAACTGGATGCGTTTATGAAAGGTCACTCTCTGTATAGTCTCCTCGCAGCCGTGTTTAGTTTCACGCGTTAGTTGTCACGCGTCACGCAACCTCTCGTGGAAAGGTTGCGTGACGCGTGACAACTAACGCGTGAAACTAAACACGGCTGCGAGGAGACTACTCTCTGTAAGGCGACCACAGTACTCTCAATTCTCTATTTTCCCTCAATGCTACCAGTAATTTCTATAATAAGCCATGTTGGTGATATAAGTGGCTCCCAAGAATCTTACTCGTTAAACACTGAGTATTGCATTTTGAAATGATTTTGTCTGCTTACAGTATACAGACGATTCAATCCACGCTCCAGTCATGCAAAGAGCTTTCGACATCAATCTAAACCGAAGTAATTCCGACTGTACCGCTCGTAAGACGGACCGAAGTCCCTTCGTAAGGCTKTCAGTGGAAAGGAGTAGTATGAGRAGAAAGAAGCGCCCTGTATCATGGCAAGGCGTACAGCAATACCAACAAATGTTACCTTTTGATATTTCACGAATGGAGCTGGATGATATGGAATCAGCACGTTTACGACAGGTACAATTTTTTCGTTTCTCTTTCAGCACCTCTCGTATTTGTTCCTTTCTCTTTCAGCACCTCTCGTATTTGTTCCTTTCTCTTTCAGCACCTCTCGTAAACTAACGTATATCATTGACGTCAAAAGAGGTCTTCTTTGACTTTATTTAATTTTGAACTAAGGACGGTAGTGTTCGTAATCTTACAATCATTTCCCGGCGTTCTTAAGAACGCTGTGCGACACTCGACAAGATGTACAATATTGGGGGCGAAGGGAGGGTTGACTGAAGTCATGTATGTAGCGCAGTGAATTAATGTCATTATGTTGTTAATGTTTGTATTTAACTTTTTTTTGCTATTTTAGGCACAAATTCAAGAAGATATATACCGACTGCACAAATTAAAACAAAGAATCGAAGAAGCCCTCGCTGCAGGTTCAACCGAGGTTCCTAAGTCGATAGAAGATAGTGATGAATACCGAACTTTGCTCAAAGATGTCGAGGTGAGACTTATAAATTGGATTTAAGATTTATTTCAATCCCAACCATGCATTGCGGTCGTCACTCATGCCCAGGGGCGCAGCGAGAATTAAAACATAGCACACATAGTAAAAAGCTTGAAAATGTTCGTCCATTTGTGATAAAATCGTTTTTTTTTGGGGGGGGGGGGGGGCTGACTTGCCCCCTTGATGTTTCAAAAACGGGACCGGCGGAAGGTGGTATGAACTTGAAATAATAATAATGAAAAAAAGTGTTCTTGTGTTGTTTATCAGAATTTGATTTGAATTTTTGTTTTAGGCACGTAACCTTATTCGAAGAGCTGCAAGACGCAAACAAACAGATTTGAAGTTTTTACGTGACAAGAAATCCACCAAAGGACTCAAGCTTCCACCATCCACTACAAGGGAACAGCATTGGGTCTGATGAATATATATTTATAAGGGTCGTTGTTATGCTTCACAATGAAGCCCCCATTAAACTTGAATAAATTACTATGTAATCTGAAGGCCTTATTTGRTATATGATAATAAGGCTTCAGCTATGTCTTGTAGAAAAGCCTATATGAGACTCTAAAAATAATTGACTAATAATTAACTAATAATATCTTGGGTCAACTTGTCTCTCAGGATTCATTAACCATTCATGTTCAAATTTAACATAATATTATTCTGGTTTTTGATATATTCTAGATGTACAGAATTTATCTAAAGTTATATCTTTACTACTATTGCTTCTGAAATAAAGTCCAACGTTTATACAATTCACATGATTGTTCTTAATGCCCCCTTGGGATCCCAGTGAAACAGGAAACCCAAACGAACCTAAAACGAAGTTTTGTAATACATGGGGGAGACCTACGTAGCATGCAGTTGAAGTAATGTATTCATAAAATGTATAGTATTCCATTGTTTCTCGTTCTATTGTATTATGTGTTTTGTATTATATCTTTATGAATATATTACATCAACTGAGTGCTACTTAGGCTCTCCCGTAATACATGCTTTCGGAGAACAATATGTCCGCCATCTTGAAAAGTGGGACTCGTCGGTTATCTATATTCAATTTGTCGTTTGTCGGTTATTAGCGGGCTAGCTGTGCTAGCCAGCTATAGTTTTACCTTTTCTCCACTCTGTCGCAGTCTCTAGTCTCTCTCGAACCACAGGAAGCCATATCTATCTATTAGTTTGCAGTCTCTCTCGAACTGAAAATTTTCTCAAGAATCCAAAATGGCGGGTACTTCGCCGATAATGTATGAGTCAATTCCACCCCGGGCATTTGACTCGACTCTACCTCCGTACAGTGGGGAATTTAACTCTGATTTAGGAGCCCGGGCGGGTTTGACGAGTAGGCGACCATCTTGGAAATTATCGATTCAGATGCGAAAGCGCTATTTCGTGACACAATACGAACTTTTAAGCTTAAGTTAAAAATAAGAATATCTCGGGAACCTAAGCATTTTAATAATAATAATACGTATTATTTATATAGCGCCGATATCCTTACAGTTCAAAGGCGCTTCACATGATCACGGATCGCTATTATAGCAGCCAAGAGGCTTACAATCATTTTTGGGAACATTCTCGATCTTTTGTACTTTCACGATAAGAAATCACGATACAAAAAGCAACAAAAACACTCGAAAACTAGCGTAAAAAACTGACTTATGGGGCGGGCATTTGACCACTCATTTGCTTTACTAGTGGGCATTTGACTGTCAATTTTGCCCATATGGTGGGGAATTTGACCAATTTTTTTCCAAAAAGTCAAATGCCCGGGGGTTCGCCCGGGGGGGGATGGGCACCTTTTTGACTCATACATAACAGAGAAAAAAGTACTTAAAAACTATCAACAAGAAATACCAAAAGCTTTCTCATTGAAAAATTGAACTAGGATATTGCATTTGTGAAGTTTCAAGCTTGCTAGTTATCATTTTAAGACGATTTTGCATCGAAAATAGTCTCGCCTTCCTCACCAGTCCAGCTCGATGATTATTCAGTACAGCTTCAACATGAAATCAGCTCAAATACTGGCTTTTTTTCCACATTTATAGACAGCAAAAGGCATTTTTCTGTTTATATGACAATGTTTTTATTGTTCAAATTCAAAGAAATCGCTTTAATATCATCGGTGTTTTTTATTAGCTAAAAATGACAAAGTACAAGTTTTGAAATTGAACCTTTGTTTTGCTTCAATTTTTAGATTTCTTTTGTACGAAAGAAAGGCTAATAAAAACAAAATTTAAAGAATGCACCCATGTCATCTAAAATGCATTGCTATGTAAATAATAATGTGATATCGCTAACCAAGAAATAAAGAGCTTCCATAGATATTATTACAAAATACATTGCAAATGTAGGACAATCACTATAGCAAAAAGATTATGGTTGATAGTTGATATATGATAAGATTATAGTAGACAGTGAAGGTTAACGATTAGTTTCTAGAAAAGAATATTGCGTTGCACGATAAGTTGAACTGCAAAGAAAACTAAGGTATTATACGGCATATTTTACTTTCATATATAGGTACGTCATAGTCACAATATTCATTGGAGATACAATTTTATCTTGTAATGAACATCTTTTGCTAAGCCAGCCCGCATCACGCTTTACAAGCGTCTAGTTTATATTCAATTTGCAGTCTGAATGGGGAGGGGGTGGGGGGGTCTCAATGTCGGTTGTCAGTTAAATATTCTAGGCATTTGTCGGTAGTCGGTTATTTATAGACATCTATATCCGAATCATCATTGAATTATTTAAAACTAGGAATTTCAACGTATTTTTTGGAAATACAACACTGTTAATGGCTGTGATAAGTGTCGCGCATGTCGAGGTAGATTTGGGGATCGATGTCAGTGTGGATGTAGATATCGAAAAGAAATAACTAATTGGCTCCGCGGACATTGCTTTTCGTGTATGTTATTTCTCCAAACACTTTCTAGTTGTAAATCGGCCCAGGTACGATGCAAGGTTTAGAGCGGATTTCGTATGAGTGGGAAACGGACGGTACTGTACTGTGACCGTAATCGTACTGTAACCAAATTCTAGTGCCCCATTGTTTCACCAAAATTCTGCAGGCCAGGTGCGGTAACTGTGCGGTAACCGTGCGGTAACGGTGTCCCACTCATACGAAATCCGCTCTAAGAAACTAATTTTGCTTTCCTTGTGTGGCCGTTATAGCGAGGTAAACACTTTTGCCGTGTGATCAAATATCATTCCCAAATCTATGTTTTACTATTTTCAGAATCAAAAAGCTTTGCTAGTTTGCCAGGAAACGTAAAATTAAACATTTTAAAATCGTTTTCGAACATCTTTACCAACTGCAAGATTTTCGTATTAGGAATTTGCGAATAATAATACGACAGCTCAGCGGTGGTGTTCGACGCGTGAACAGTTGGGAACGAAACGCGTCTGTCAATTCCCGCCTTTATGACCAAATACGGTGCTTCCTCAGCTAGATCTTCGTAATGTCCAATGAAATCATAGTTAACTGCACAAGGATAACAAAGGTTGGTAAAGGATTTCCAGTGCACATCGGAGTCTTTTGTTTGCAGCAAAAAATCGGTGAATTCTGGAAACGTAACAACACTACCTGTTTTAAGGGCTTGTCGAGTAGCGTTTGGTCGAAATTTTGCGATGATTTTTCTGCCAATAGCATTTCGGTAATATTTGTTGTCCTTTAGTAACTTGTCTTTGTAAGCGGAAAGTATACGTTCCAACGGATCACGAACAAACATGAACGTGAAGTACCTCTTCAGCATTTTCCAAGCATCTTGCTCAGAAAAAAAATTTAAGTTGTTATTAATCATTCCGGTAGTGTTTGCCACACGATTCATTTGCTCATCTTCCTTTTTCAAAACGGAGAGAGTTTCCGTCCATTGCGTACTTGCAACTTTTGGAACAAAACAATAGATAAYYTTACTCTTCCGAAAGACCTGAAAATGACGCCGATCAGACCCAAACTCCTTTAGATAGAGAGAGTTATTAATTTTGTGTGTCTTGCAGTAGTCCGCAACCATCTTTCTCCGTTTCTGCATGCGATCTTCAAGTCGTAGGAGAAAGTTTGTAAAATCCTGAAAGCGAAAGACTGATTACACATACMTTCAAGCCCGCTTGAATAAA